TGTGCCCACTTTTTAATTGGGTTATTTGTCTTTTTCTTGTAGAGGTGTTGTAGTTTCCTGTATATTTTAGAAATGAGTCCCTTGTCTGATGGGTCATTGCAAAAGATTTTTTCCCATTCTGTGGGTTCCCTTTTTACTCTTCTGGTGAAGTCTTTTGATGCACATAAGTTTTTTAATTTTTAGTATGTCCCACTCATCTATTTTATCTACTTTTGTTTGTGTGGTTTTCAAAATGTTTTGTAGTGCATGTATTCCCATAATTAGTGCCCTCACATTTGTCCCGAGTTTTTCATTGATGATCTTCATAATTCTGGGATTCACATTTAGGTCCTTAGGTACATATATTTTTGAAGCATGTAGTTCAAGTCCTTGTATGGCACTGTAGAATAAGCACTGGCTTGCTAACTGCCAAGTCAGTGGCTCAAACCAACCAGCCATGCCTCAGAAATCTTATATAGCATTGCTGAGTTAAAACTAACTCAAAGGCTCTTAACAACAACAACAACAACAACAACAACAATTTCCTGAATAACCATTTTCTATTTTCCATGTCAAAATGGCAGTTTTTATATCCTGGAGGGACTCAACTCATGGTCCTTAGAAACACTTTTTGAGTTCAGGGAATAAAAAGAAGTCTGGGGCAAGATTAGGGCTGTAAAGTTGGTGGCCTAATATTTCCCAACAAAATTCTTGTAGGACAGCCCTTGCTGCCCTAGAAGAATTGCAGGTCATTATGCAAAAGAAATTCCTCAGCACAACTTTTGGTGCCTTTTTTTTTTTTTAAACCAATGTAGTTTTGAATTTTCTTAAAACTTCTTAAAAAGCCCCCATTCTCGATTTATGTCCTTGAAGAAAATCTATTTGTAAATTATGCATCATGATCTTTCATTCATTTGGAAAATGTACCTTACTAATGTAAATGCCTTTGAATTGTGGTGTTGGAGGAGAATACTAAAAGTGCCATGGACCGCCAAAAGAACCAATAGATCTGTTTTGGAAGAGGTGAAGCCAGAGTGCTCCTTGGAGGCCAAGATGGCTAAACTTCCTCTCATACTTTGGACATATTGTCAGGAGGGAACAGTCGTTAGAGAAGGATGTCATGCTGGGTAAGATGGAGGGTCAGAGAAAGAGAGGAA